AAAGTCATTTAGCTATTGGTGATTGAAAAGTAGGCAGTGAGCTACAAATTAGCTTTGTGCATCATTTAGCTATTGGTGATTGAAAAGTAGGCAGTAAACTACAAATTAGCTTTGTGCTTGCAAGCTTGGCTCCTTATCTTCACATGTTCTTGTAGACATCCGTCTTGACTTGTTAGAAAAACATTCCAATTTTTGATCTGTCAGGCCCGTTAAATCTGTTAAGATTCTAAATACAGTACAATGGCCTTTTTCATTCCGGTTATATCCTTGGAGATGGAGATTACTATTCATTGGTGGTGGTTGAGTGACGTAATTCTTGAGGGGTATAACTGTAAATTAGCTCTCTGTAGCGACTAGCGATAAGCTTCGATCTATATCCACCAACCATTTGAGTACACATGTTCCAAAACGAGAACTCAGTTGGAGAGTCATGGGAATCATTACTCTGGCAAGAACACCCCCTCTACCATTACCCCCTTCACTAACTTCATCAAAATACAGAACCCATGTCCTAATCCATTCATCCACACAATCCAAAAGCTTCAAACATGTCGGCTCAATTTCAGCCACCTTAAACTCTCCCAAAGGCTTCGGGCCCAAACCAAATAAGATAAAAAACTCCAAAAAATTGAAAAAGAACAAATACGAAAGCCAAGAAGAAGATGAGGAGGAGGAAGAGGATGATCGGGAAGAAGGCGTTATTCCGGAGATAGTGACGAATCGGATGATAAGCAGAATGGGCTTTTCTGTGGGGATCCCACTTTTTATTGGGCTCTTGTTCTTCCCCTTCTTCTACTATCTTAAGGTTGGGCTGAAAATCGATGTTCCCACCTGGGTGCCCTTCATCGTGTCCTTTGTCTTCTTCGGGGCAGCGCTTTTGGGGGTCAGTTACGGGATTGTGTCCGCCAGCTGGGAACCGTTGAGGGAAGGCTCGCTGCTGGGCTGGAATGAGGCCCGGAAGAATTGGCCCGTTTTCTGGGGGTCGATCTGGGGAGGGTCCAAGAACAAGTCGTGAAAAGTTGCTGGATTCTATATTTTATCCATTTTTTCTTTTGTTTTTTTTTTCTTTTTTAATCATTATGCTGTTGTATCTGCATTTTACAGTGAGAGAAATTTCTTGTTGGTTGTCTGAGTTCTCACACTATTTTTCGCTCGGAATTTGGCCAGTAAATGAGGTCAAAAGACAAAAGGGAAGGACGGCCACCGGACTTTGTACAGTGTTGCTTGCTTAACAGGTTTGAGCGAACTGAGCTAAACTTGTAAGCCACTCGAAATTCTACTTTGAGGAAATATAAAATATATATATATATATATATATATATATATATAAAACTGGTTCAATTCAATCTTTGTAGTGCTCGAGTTGTAAGCTCGAGGTGTTAGCTACTCTCAGCAGTGACAGTAGTTACTAGTAGTTTTAACTTGGCATATATTACTCGCATGTTGGAAGTTCAAAAAGAGAGGCTTTCATACTTGTAAATGAAGCTGCTAAAAAAAGTTTCAAATTGGAAAAACACATTTTTTAGTGAAGCTGAGAAAGAAATTCTTTTACAAACAGTGATAAGTGCAATCCCAATTTATGCGATGTCATGTTTTAGAGTCCTTGTGTCTATTTGTTCTAAGATTTGTAAGGGCTTAGCTAACTTTTGGTGAGAGAAATCTAATTTGGGGGAAGGGGAATATGATACACTAGGCCTACTAGTATAAATTAACCAAGCCAAAAGAGGAAGGAGGGCTAGGATTTAGGGATCTTATAGAGTTTTCAATGAAGTCTTGATCATGAAGTATTTATGAAGGTCGTTAACTAAACCTAATCTACTTATGAGTAGGTCATTAAGGATAGGTAATTCAGCAAGGAAAAATTGAGTGAGGTGAGACCTAAGAGTGGGGACTCTTTACTGTGGAGGCTGGTTAGGGGTTATAGAGAGCTTTGAAATGGGGGTGAGATACCAAGTAGGAAATGGCCACTCTATTCAAATATGGGATTCACCCTGGGTTCTTGGCAATCCATCTTTTAAACCAATTTGTTGTTTTCCTAGTGATAGGTCTTGACTTAGATGGGTTAGTGATCTGTTGAAGAAGGGAGGTAGACATTGGATAGAGATGTAGTGTACCAAACTTTAACCTCTCTGGATGCTTTAGCCATAGTGAGTTTGCCAATTAGTTTAAAGGATTGGTTGGTTTGGCACTGGGAGAAACAAAGACAATTTACTGTCATATCATCTTACCAATAAGTTTTGGCTCAGAAAACATTGAGGAAAAATTCAGGTTATCCGCAGATGCCAAGGCTATGGACTAAAACATGTCAAACACAATCTGAAAACCTTCATTTGGAAGTGCTGGAATGAATATTTGAGTACAAATGTGCAACTTGAAAGAAGAGGAATGAAGGTAGAGTTGGTTTGTGAAATCTGTGGAGAAGGGATTGAAGATCAGGAGCACATATTTTTCAAGTGCCCTAGAGTTGCAGTATGTTGGCAGCTGATTGGGTGAGCTAGAATATTCTTAATCACAGACTGCAAATTCCAAGATTGGTGGATGGAGGTCAACAAATACTCTAAAACCAACTTTATGAAGGAGAATGTGTGTCTTGTTGGTTTCTAAAGATTGGTGAATGGAGGTCAACAAATACTCCAAAACCAACCTTATGAAGGAGAATGTGTTGTTGGTTTCTATGAGTAAAGTCGGCGATGTGCACATCTAAATATATTAAAAATAAATTCCAACGTAGCGGAATTTATAGTTAGGGATCAGGACTTACGGTTTAAATTTTGCCGACTTTGTACAGAAATACACGACCTACGGGGCTGGACGAACAGTTTTGAGATGCAATCTCTAGCCCACGTACCTTGCTACATGTCCTTGCAGAGTCGTTGGGTCGCCTCCTTGGATCGCTGATCGTAACTCCTCGGAGTCTCACGCTGTTGGCAAGTCGCCGAGAATTGCCTGGTGCACGCTAGTGCCGGCCCGAGCACGCTGGTACGCACCTGGGCTGTTGTTGGTGCTGATAAGTGGCTGGTCGCGGAGCATGGCGCAGTCTAGCTCGCTGGTCGCCGAGCGTCGGTTCTGGGCACTGGTCGCCAAGCGTTGATAGGGTCTCACATGATGGTGTGCACTGGGGTCGCGCATGATGCGCATAATGTACACGGGTCTCGCGCGGGTCGTGCAAGGTTGTGTGCTGCCTAGGCGCAATCTTTTTTTGGCTGCGCACTTCGTTTGCGGGCTCTTCGCGGCGTCTGCGCGGTCGCCTGTGGGCTGCGGGTCACGTCTGGAGGCGCGTGTGGAACAGACAGTGGCGCGTGGGGCTATGACTGGTGAAGCTGATCACACCGGTGGTCGCATTGGTCTTCGTTGGTGGTGTTCTCCAAGTTTCATGGTCTTTTGAGGTGCCGCAGAGTCATATTTATTCGCCCGAATGTGAAAACAAGACCTCATGATCTTCTGCTGTATGATCGATCACCTACTCCGATTCGTCGTAGTGATTGACTTAACGGATCTCCCAACGCATCATATTTTTTCTCTCTTATTGACCTCTCGATTTTTGGCCGAATTCTCAATGAGAGAAATCTTGTTTCTCACGTGGTTATGGACGTAGAGAATCATATTCTTGGAGGTTAGGGGACTTGGTGTATTTATAGGCTACAACAGTGACCCTAAGATGGTGCTAAATATGGGCTCCCCAATTGTGCATCCAACTGTGGGACTCTCCCACTCCGCATACAGTTAAATAGTATTAAATTCATTATAAAAATATTATTGAGCTCCCCATTTAGCCATCAAATTACAAATGATTCGTCTCCCAGCTAATTGCTCGATTTACCTCCACATGTTTATGACCTAGCGTTCTGTAACGCCCCACTTTTATTTGTCGAAAATCAGAATAAATTTTTCAAAATTTATTTCAAAACACTTGAGGCGCTACTCATTTCCAAAAAAAATTTCAACAATATCACATATGCAATTCCCAACGAGTTCAATAATCATAAATAATCAACACCCAAACCGGGTTCAATAATCGTCAATAGTCAACACCCAAACCGGGTTCATCAAATCCACAAATACTAGGGAGAACACTCCCTATCGATAATCCATTATTCAACATAAGTCAGGAATGCATAATTTAAAATAAGCAAATTAAGCAGCGGAAATAAGCGATAACATGACCACCACTCGCTTCCCTCTATCGTGCCCGCAAATACTAACCTGCATCCATGAAGAGCAGGTGGGGATGAACACAATAGGAAATCGAGGTGCTCACCACTATGCAATAATCAATATTCAATTTCATAAAGTAATACAGGTATGGTCGCAGTATGAACACGAATCAATTAATATCCCATCTCCTTCCCAGAGTCAACTCTCATGTGCACACCTATACCAATAGACCACTGCTGATACACGTATCGAAAACCCCCGCGGGCCTTACATTCGATGCCCAGACAGTAGGAGTAAATCCACCCCGAATGCCTGGAAACATTCCTTCGGACTTACATCGAGGATCACCAGCCAAGGCTCACGCCCTGACTGCCATACATAAATAAAGGAGACACCCATCGGGTACGTTCTATAGCTACGGGGATAACCGTTCGACGGCCAATATAGCTCACATCGAAGGCTACATGGTTCACATGCATACTTTGATCATACCACAACAATAAAAATTAATTAATGCATAGAAACTTTTCAAATAAAACCCACCTGGTTAAGTCGGTAGAAAAAGTACACAAACAGTCGGTAGGTCGAGGGCTCGAATCCTCAAACACCTACATTTAATCAAGATAATCTCATAAACACATTATCTTGATCTTTGAAATCATTAAAGACTCACACTTAATCAAAATAATGATTAAGGGATTTTATCGGAAATTTTTCGTGGACTTGGAACTCCCAAATTTTAAAAGAAAAGACTCGGGGACCAAAAATAGAGTCTCGGGACTTAAAATATTTTTCCCAAATTTTTTTTTTGAACATATTTTTAAAATTGAAACCGGTATTAAAAACGGCTTCTGGAACTTAAAATAGACTGAAAAATCAAAATGGGCTGCGCTGAGAATTTAAAACACAAGGCTGCCTTTGAATTTGGGCCTAGCCCGCGAGATTGGGCTGAAGATATGCGAAATGGGCCGCACACAAGGCCTGCTAACAGGCTGGACTCATGGGCTGGTAAACGGGTCTCGCGGGCCTGGAGTTGAGAGGGATTACGGGCCGTGCGCGGGCTGGGACGGCCCGCGCTGTTTTATGCAAAGGCTCCTGGGCTGCAGAAAAAAAATATGAAAAGGCTGCTGGTGGAGGGTTTCGATCTCAGGACCTAAGGCATGGAAATGACATAACACACCACTGTACCGTCTAGCTTGGTTGCGACTAAAGGAACATTTAAACTATTAAAATTCAAACCGTGGCCTGCGACTGAAACAGAAAGGAAAAATGAACAGGGGCTGGGAAAATCTGTACAGAAGGTTGAACAAACTCGACAAAAATCCCACGACTACTTCTCCACATCAACCGGTTTATGGGAAATCAACAAATCCAACAAAAACCACAATTTACATAGATTGACAATTTTTATGAAAATCAGGTTTTATCTCGAAAACGACAACGGCAAGGCCCGAAACAATAAAACGAGACTCAAAATTAATAAACGAAAAATCCGAATTAATACGAATAATCACAGCAACAATAGATCGATTCATATCACGAGAGTTCCAACATGATCCATGGCAATTCACGAGAAACGAAAATAATACGAACAAACCGAAAATAATCCGAAAGCCGACAAAACTCGATTCGATGAACCACGATAAATCCGACAACAATATACGGGTACGAAATATAACGAGGAGGCTCGATGATTACCTCTCTTCGGGAAATTTACGAGCTAGGGAAAGGCACGAACGAACGAAAAAGTCGAACGGACAAAAGGAACTCGAAAGGTCGGGCTCGACGAATGGAACCCGAAATGCCTCGAAAGTGCTGCTCGCGAATGGAAAGTGACGCTGCCCTTGACGACGTACGGCGATGATTGGTGACGAATGTTGACGGGCGGAACTTCGCCGGAAATAATGGAGGTTCGCCAGAATTTGGGAATTGCAGCGAGGAAGGGCCGCAGCTCGAACAGAGGCGCGACTACTCTCTCGACGGATGGCAACGAGGGCTGCTGCAATAAGGAGACGCCGGCGAGGATGGTTGATGTTCGCCGGAAACGGTAGTGGTCCTCCGGTAGCAATAGCAGCGATATTTATTTATTTTTGAACGCTGCGAAAGAGATTGGGGAAGAGATTTTGAACGTTACTGAGGGCCAGGATCCTCTACCCAGATATAAGAGCGATTGACACGATCGAACGTGCGGGGAGATCACAGGAAAATCGCAACGAGTTTTTGAATTGTTGAGATAAGGAGAAGACTCAGTCGTTCAAAGCGAGGAAGAAGAACTTATCTGATGCAATTGTGCTTAGAATTTTTGAAAGAAAAATGGGTCAATAACAAAATAATCAATATAGACCAAATTAAATTATTTACGTTGGGCTGAAAGAAGAAGGGTTAAAGGGCCAAGATTTATTAGCAAGGAATTAAGCCATTTAATTCACATAGCAAAATGGGTTGGAATATAAATTTGATAACACGGTTCAGCTCTCGGGCCCGACTACATGGCGATAATACGATTTTTACTCGGCTCGTTAGATTAAATCGCACAATTAAATAAACCAACCAAACATGTGTAATAAATATTGATAGTACACAATTTAGCTTTTAAGAAAATAATGATAATATTAGTAAAAATACAATTACATATTTTTCAATTAAATAATAACATTTAGGCAATTTGACAAATAAATCACATTCGACAATTAATAATTTAGCATTCAAATAATAATAATAATAATAATAATAATAATAATAATAATAATAATAATAATAATAATAATCCTCAAAAATTTCATAGTCAAGCGGGGCATTACACATTCGTTGTTTAATTAAATTACTGACAATATAAATAATCAACTTCTTGTTTCGAAATTAGTAACAGTCAATTCTTTATTATTATAATGGAATTTAATCCGCTGATTGAGCTTGACATAATAATTCTTTTTGAGCCATTTTGGGGACGTCATCAATCCGGCAGACCGAGACACGACGACCGTAATAAATTTCTACGGCATATCATACATTCGACATTATTACCAAAGTACGGAGTCTGTCGACCTACCAGAATAAGTCTTACCCCATGATAATTCAAGTAAATGAGTACCAAATGT